TAAAAAATTGGTAATTTGCAGAAAAAAAAAATATCGCAATTAGTACTAAATAACACGATCTAAATGATATTCTTAAAGGACTGTTACAGACGGAATTTTTTTGTAGAACTTAGTTGATATTTGAACACACATTTTCATCAAATGTTTAAAATATGCATTTTATAGTTAAAAAAAAATTAAAACGATTTTTTAATCTATATTGGATTTTTTCTTATTATAAAATTGCATTTTTTTAGTAATAATAATAATATTGATAATTGACTATTACTAATGTCATATTAATATTACGAATAACATTAATATATATTTTATTAATATTTATTAATAAATGTTAATATATATTAATATTATAAAAAAATATTATGAAATTATTGAAAAATATGCATTTTGAAAAATAAAATGTAAATGAATAATTAGACTAATACTCATTTTTACCCTTTTTAACTGTAAAATGTCAATTTTCAAATTTTGAAAAAGATATCAAGATATCAACACGAGTATTTCCAAAGAAAATATGTGAGTGTACTGGAAAGATATTACGATAGACGTCACGTTTGAAACATATGTGACGTCCTGAGTCGCGTGTTTAACTTTAAAGCAGTCTCGAGGCGCAACATAAAATCGTGGGAGCGCGAGCGCGGAGCGAGGCGCGTGGGGCGAAGCCTTGACTTCGGGTGAGATTCGTTTTCGGCGTGTGTTGACGCGTAGGGCAGGTTGCTGTCACCAGTGCCTTCGTAGAGGCACGAATTGAATTGATATTTATTCTACTCGCGAGATATCTCTTATTATATTTAATTCGGTTCAAACTTCCGTATTCCCTTATTATGCACAGGAAGGAATAAAATCAGAGAGTTTAGAGGAATTATCAGATAGAGCGCCCGTGGTACACGAAGGTGTACAAGGAATTAATGAAGATATAAAAATCTCTTTCCTGTGGGCAGCTGTGATATTTCATCACACGCTTCGCTCTATCCATGCTCTCTGTTTCCTGTACGAGAAAGGGAGCAAGGAAGGATAGTAAAAGGCCTTAAGGGCAAAGAAAAGAAGAAAAAGAATGATAAGGTTTAACTATTTTAACATTTACATTACAGGGAGTATTATTGATAACGCGGGGTTTGCTTGATATTAATATGGGCCCTCGTAGGCTTGCGGACGGGCGCGATTCGCGGTGGCGCGGGTCGCAGCGGTGTTACGTCTACATGCAGAAGAATGTATAGAATAGAGAGGGTAAAAAAGGGGAGGAGTGCGGAGGCCTCGACGCCGTGGAAGGCGCTCGTTTTGAGCTCCGCAGGAGGCGAGCTTCAGCGTCGCTTCGGGTTAGCGCCGTCGGAGCTGAGAATGGGAATAGCCCTTCAGACGCCGTGAAAGCGCACGATCGGGACAGGATTCTTGGAAGGTGCGGAAAGCTCTGGAGCGCTAGTTAAAGCGCTGGAAAGACTTACCGTTGGATTTTCGAGGAGAGAAATAAGGACCCTGTCTTGAATAAGCTCTGCTTTATATGTATATTATTTGTTTCGTGGTCCCTCGCGGTAAGGGGATGTTTTCGTCCACGTGCTATTGCGAAATCTCTAGTACGTGCCGATTATGTTATTAGTGATTTGCTCTAATAATGATTAGATTTTAGTTAAATTGCGCCATTTATTTTACTGCGGGGGTCGCGAGATTCGTATTGACACGCTCAGTCGTCGCGTACTGCAGCCCATTGCGGCAGAACTTACATTTGTTCTTTGTGCGTTTTTTCATCGTAAGTTTTTGTATTGTTCTGGATCTTTTCGTTCTTTGTGCGCGTGGAATTTAGGTGTTTGTTTAAGGCTTTCTCTTAGTTATGTGCGCTTCGATTTTATTCGTGATAATTTCGCTCGTATTCGGAGGCCTTTTGTGACCGGTGGGTGCATTCAGGCATTGCACGGCAATGCATTGCGTTGGCGTTGTGCGTTTCTATCAATTTTTCGCGAGTCTGCGGTTTTTCCTTGCAGCTGCGTCGAGGTCGGTTGTTATCTTAATCATTCCCTATCCCGTGTTAACGGTGTTTTCTTGTTGAAGTGCATTCTTGCATCGTTTTCAGCATTTATAATTTTGCGCAGGCGCAGTACGCGCGGCGTTCAATCGCGACGGTTTCGGTGGCTTGGCCTATAGCTGTACGCGATTGTAGTAGGCACATATTATGTTGGTTTGCTATATTCCATGCTCGCGCTCGCTTGGTAAAAGGACGGGGCGCTACATTATAGGCGCACCGGACGTTACACACATTTTAATTTTTTTAACGTTAAAATAATTTTTGCTATTAATGGAAGGGTTATATGATTATTAAAATTTATTAAAATCTATTTATTAAAATCGTTATTTAGAATGTGTGTGTCTCTTTATCTCTTATACAGGAATACGCCGAGCGGTCGAGAAAGTACATTTTCGGTTTTCGGTCGCTTGTAACAAACGACTAGAGGAAGCGAGACAGCGAGAGAGAGCGGCCGTCCTTTTTTTCTAATACTCGATTGTGTTTACAAATTACTCATAGAGAAGGACGGCCGCTGTCGCGCGTGCTCTCTCTCTCTCTCTCCCTCCCCCCCTCCCCCCCTCTCTCTGCGTGACGCTATAAACTATCTCGACGCCAACAACAGCTCCTCTACTGATATGTAAGTTTCTGCTTTCACTGTATTCTGGAGCTGCTGTGTCGATATTAAAACTTTACTTGATTGTCATTTCGGCTATCGGACGGCACCACATCACCTTGTTATAAGCTCTCATGTACACTCTCTACCGGCAAATGGTTCAACAACTTGCTAGACACTCGTCACTTGGCTACCATACGTCAGACAAGCAGTCATCATAAATCGTTCGAAATAACTACATCAAGCTATGCGTACTAGATGTCTTACATGAGAAGAAAAGATAATAGCAGCATAAACAAGCAAACCGTCACTACAGAACCCTCCTGTGCCAAATGTCATAAGCGTGTCGTCGATAATTACGTTTGCGCCGATTGTAATTCGTTATTTCATCGTTCGTGTGCAAGACAATTTATTAAATCTAAGTCGATTTCGGAGTGTTGTTGTGTACGATCATTTTCATATTTGTTGACACAACAAGAGTCTCCGCCTGCCGTCGAGGACTTGAGTAGCTTACCCCACCTACCTCCTACTTCGAGTGCGAACATCAATTCCCCAGTCATATCGCTCCCATCCATATCGAACATGCCATCTGCCCCTGCTTTCTCTACCTCTCAAACAACGTCGTCTACCGGAGCGCTGACGAATCTTACGAGCGACCAGCAATTCACGCTCCTATTAAATGCAATAAACGGCGTGAGGCAGGACATTGCCAATTTAACGGCAACGGTGCAACAAAATACTGCTATATGTACAGCAATTGCTACAGATATGCGCGAGTTAAAAAAGACGATTGCATACGCGAAACCGACGACTGAAATTATAATTACGGGTATACCAAATGCGTGTGATTTATCGTACCGTGACATCGTGCATCGTGTATTAACGCATTTAAAAGTTCCTGAGCTAATTGGCGACTTATTACTAGTCAATAAAATCAATTATAAACGCCCAAATACTACGGATGCTTCTATATCAATGCAGTATTTCTCTATTAAAGCTGACTTTAAGTCCATTAGAGTTCGTAACTATATCATTGATACTAAACGCAAAACGGGGGCAATAATAGTAAAAGATATTTTACCTGAGTTATCAAACAGCACGACGGCTGCAAATCCTATATTTGTAAATGAGTTTCTCAGCGCGTACACATATGCCCTTTTGAGAAAGGCTAAACAAGCAGCTAAAAATGCGAACTATAAGCGAGTCTGGGCTAGAAACGGAAGCGTTTTCGTTCGTAAGGATGCTGGGTTTAACGAAATACTAATTGCTACTGAACGAGACCTTGAACAAATCGTATGACTAACTGAGTCCACTATACCCAATGCACCTTTAGCTTCATCTACCCGAAGACCAACAGCGTACCGTTCAGATCTGTTTAAAATTTCATGTGTCAATGTAAATTCCATTCGAGCCCATCTACACGACATTGAAGTAGTCTTGTCCGATTGTACGACTCGCATACTCGCGGTCACAGAAACATGGCTTACTCCAAATGTCGACTCGTCATGCGTAAATATCGCAAATTATAATCTAGTGCGTAAGGACCGCGCGCTTCGTGCTGAAGACAAATCGCGTTACATTCAGGGAGGTGGTGTAGCATGTTACCTCCATAAATCGCTTGTTTACACTGTCCTGGATTGTTCTGAGAATTCAGATCTTAATACTCCAGAATACCTTTTTCTCGATATAAAGTCTGCGCAACGAAGTATGTTATTTGTCGTTATGTATAGGCGCCCGGGTGGTCAACTTTTTTCAGATTTTTTAACGAAATTTAATTTATATTTACCCAGGTTTAAAAACGTTATAATCACAGGTAATCTAAATTGTAATTTACTAGTTGATAGTTTCGAATCCAATTATATTAAGAACTTTATATGTGAATATTCACTATTTTCTGTTCCTTTTGGTCCTACTCATCATTCCGGGTTTTCAAGCTCACAGCTTGACGTTATGATCGTTGACAGCAACAATAAAATTAAAAGTTTCGCTAAATCACTAACACCATTTGCGGCCGGTCATCACATTATATCAATTTGTTACGAATTTCATAATTTAAATCGTACTCCGCAGATAATTACTTATCGTGATTTTTCGAACTGCGACCATGACGCTCTAGCAAACGACCTCATGGCCTTATTTCGCATTAGACTTTCCAACCTACCGATCTTATCTAATATACATCAAACTGAACTCACGAATAGTCTTAGCATTTTTTATGATTGTATCAATGAAGCGCTAAATGCCCACGCGCCGTATACTACAAAACGAATAACCCATCGCTCCATCCCATGGTTGAATTCCGATCTCCGAACTAGGATTAAGATACGCGATAAATTGTTTTCGCGTGCTAAGAGACTACGTAACCCTGTACTTCTTCAACAATACAGAATTATGAGGCGTGAAATCAAGTATGCATTGAAATATGTCAAAGATGCATATCTAATTGATACGCTACCTCTACAGTCGAGTCCCAATATTCTCTGGTCATACTTAGGGAAATTGGGTCTTACGAATGCACCATCTCAATCTGCCCTAAATCACTTGTCTGCATCTACATTAAATCGCTATTACTCACAAGTAGCCTCTTCTCATCCACCATGTACTCAGGAAGCCCTAAACAACATCCTTTCACGACCTCTACCAACCTCGCATTCGTCATTTGTGCTAACTCCTACAAATAACCATGAAGTACTTATTAGCCTTAACTCTGTCATGAATAAATCTCGTGGTTTGAGCCCCGACAACCTTCGTTTGTCGCATCTTAAAAAATTGCTTCATATTATCACTCCCTACCTCACAGCCATTATTAACCTATCGTTTAAACTAAACATGTTCCCATCGGTTTGGAAAAATCTTTATATCATCCCACTTAAGAAAATCCCCAATCCTTTAAATCCATCCGATACTCGACCAATAGCAAATCCACCCCATCTCTCAAAAGTAATTGATTCACTAGTCACCCAACAGATCATCAAATATTTAGAGAATAACAAAATGCTACACCCGAGAGAATCTGGGTTCCGTAAACACCATAGCACACAAACCGCTTTATTACATCTCTTAGATGACGTCAGATGTGGGATCGATAGGGGTTGCGTGACCATCTTGGTACTGTTTGACTTTACGAAAGCCTTTGACAGCCTTAGTCACACTGTAATCCTGACGCGCCTACGAGACATCGGTTTCGAGAACGCAGCTCTAAATTGGATGCAATCATTCCTATCTTGTCGCTCCTAGTCGATAATAAACCTGGATGGCCAAACATCTCAAGTTGAACACACTACATCTGGTGTTCCTCAAGGAACTAGCCTGGGACCCATTCTCTTCATTATCGTCATTAACACCTTGTTCACCAGGCTGCGATACTGTCGAGACACGACCATCATATTTGCAGATGATACTCAATTCTATTTGTCAACCCCAATAAGCCAGTTAAATGAAACTATAAATCACATAAACTTTGACATTACGGAACTGTTAAAATGGTCCAAGGACTATGGCCTCACGCTGAACACCCACAAAACAAAGGCTATTATCTTGGGATCTTCCCAAAACATTGCTACTATCCGAAACCTCCCATATACCACCCATTGTAGTTGGAGCAGATTTAATACCCTACTCAAACGAAGTTAAAGATCTTGGCGTAATTATCACCTCTGATCTGACATGGAATAAACATATTAATGCTGTCTCATCTAAGGTTCATAATGTTCTGTATAAATTGAAATTTCGTGGCGCATTTCTTCCAACATCAATAAAACTATTACTTGTCAACTCATTACTGGTCCCACATTTTGATTATGCTACCCTAGTTACAGCTGACTTAACGGGATATCTCAATACTAAACTGCAACGCCTGCAGAATAATGCCCTGAGATACATTTATCGTCTGCGTAATGATGACAGACTCGCACCTTACAGAACGAGAGCAAACTGGCTCACTATCTCGCGCAGAAGGCAGTACTTTCTTGGTAACCTTACATATCAAATCATAGCTACTTCCCAACCACAATACCTTGCAGGTAGATTTACTTCAGTAAATGACTCAGTGAAACGGTCGTCCCGTCTTTGTTCCTCTACCTACACACTCCCAACATCACGTACCAATATTTATGCAAATTCATTCTGGATCACAGCTATACAGTTCTGGAACTCCCTGCCAAATCAACTACGAAACCTCCCAACCATAATCTCTTTCCGTACTAACCTTTTTACTCATCTACAAAGGGCTGACCGTGAATGATGATCAAATATCAACCGTAATTTAAATTATATTCTAT